CAAATAGCATAAAAAATGTCAATTGTCGGTTTTGACCTTGGTCATTCACGTGGAACCTCTATGTGCTTTGTGGTTTCAGCTGTCGGAACTCATTTTAGAAGAGTGTATGGTCGATTCATTTCCAGTACCACAATACGGCGTAGATTTGCTGGAGCCAATTTACCATCTAGGTGACCATTAAGAGTACCCAGGTTACTTCCCAGACATATAGCTGCTCGTCTACAGTGGGCACAGGAACACAGAGACTGGCTTTTAGCTCAGTGGCGAAATATTCTTTTTTCGGACGAAACCAGATATGATTTAATTAGTGATGGTCGGCGACACAGAGTTTGGAGAGGACCAGAGCGACCAGAAAGACTATCTTTTGCCAGAGAAGTCCTTCTATACCAAGAAGGAACAGTAATGTTTTGGGGAGGCATAATGCATGGTTGTCGTATAGAGAAAGTAAAAGTTGAAAAGTACTTTTGGTAGGTAGAGAGGGGGTAAACGTCAAACCACGTCGGGCGGCTCCGAGAATTTCACAGTAATGTTTACCTGCCAGTGTCGTTTCATAGAATAAGTAATTTTAAATTGTTATCGGCGAAACCGGACAATCGCATGTATTTATGGATTATAAATAATTATTAAACATGTATTATAATATTCAAATTATAATTTTACAAAATTTCGACAGCTATTCACAATTTATTAAACTATTTACTCAAAATTGTTATTAACATCTATAAAATAATTTTGTACGCCAATGTATCGCGTCCACTTCGGTAAGATCCGCTGCCAACCTGTCAATTTATGTGTATAAAGTGGGAGAACTGGCAAAAGCATTTCCAACTTTTACTTCTGTTCTGCGCAGCTAATTCCCATTCCAGACACTATGAGAGCTGATAGATATGTTCGACACATTATTGAACCCATTATTTATCCTCTCCGAAATGAAATTGGAGCCAATTTTATTTTTATGGAAGACAATGCTAAGCACCATCGCACGAGAATGTTCCGGTTTGAACGGTGTTTGTTTAATTTAATTATAATAAAACAAGAGATTGCATGAAATTCTACTTCGACTCGGCGGTAAAAAAAAGAAAATATAAACGTATCACTCACTAAGTCGTTTTCTCTACTGATCTTTTTCTTGACTTCGTGCTTGCACAAAATCAACGCCAATACTTTTTGTTTCCGCACGTCTTGCTCTTCGCGAAGAACAGTGACTTAATAAAAAATACGAGTGGCACTCGGGGACTGCCGCGGTAAAGCCATTGCATAGCATTTTTTATCAACTTATGCAATTATAATTATTTATTTTATTTATGCAGTATTTTTTTAGTCTTTGATATTAATTCAAGTTTTTTTTCTTTGATATTAATTCAAGTTACACTTTTTGAGCGTGATGATCGATAAGAAAACAATTTTTTTTATTGAATAAATGAGAAGTTAATATTGTTTAAAATATTTTTATTATCTTACAATACATATAGGTTATTTAGGAATTTTTATCATTGAAACTATAGGTTTATGGTATCTGAAATAAGAAACATAAGTTTGAGACTTGATATCCTCTAAATATCTGGAAAATACCGCGTCAATGGTGGTCTCATATTTTGTTGTGTATTCTTGTGGATCATTATTCATTTTTAAATTCAGTTTTTCCGAAATTGTGTCTAAGAGAATCAGTTATGAGCAGTTAGCAGCTAGTCTACACGCATACGTCTAGTCGCACGCACACAAACACCGTGCCGAAGTCTGCCGAACTGAAACGACGTTAGACGATGCACGGCTTTCAACGCCGCACGGCTGTGCCGGTCGGAGTGGGGGGTATTAGGTTTATTTTCGTTACGGAATTTCTTTTTCGATTTTTCGATTTTTGATTTTTTCGATTTTTTGATTTTTCGATATTTAGATTTTTCAATTTTTCGATTTTTAGATTTTTCGAGTTTTCGATTTTTTGAATTTTCGACTTTTCGATTTTTCGGTTTTTCGATTTTTCGATTTTTCGATTTTTCGGTTTTTCGGTGTTTCGGTTTTTCGATTTTTCTTTTATTGAATAAATGAGAAGTTAATATTGTTTAATGCCGCACCGCTGTGCCGGTCGGAGTGGGGGGGTGTTAGGTTTTTTTTCGTTACGGTCGGTCGCCGCGCTCAAAGCCCGCGATAAAAGCTATGCAATAGCTTAATATTATTGTAATTTCTGGTTAGGTATTTATTGATATTATTACAGTACTATAACAAGAAGGGTACAAAATGAACTAGAAATTCAGAATATTCAAAGATTACCGTGGCCAGCAAATTCTCCAGATATGAATCCCATTGAGCACATGTGGGATTTCGTTAGACGATTAATCTCAAACAGAATTAATCCTTCTATCATCCTCCAGGAATTCACAGTCGCGGTCCAAGAAGAATGGAACAACATCCCAATGGATTACTTTAACACCCTTATTGTTTTTATGCACAAGCGAGTTAATACCTTACTACAGAACAGGGGAGGACTCACTGAATATTAATGAATTTTTGATTTCGCTCTAAAGTGGTTTTCTTCTGGAATTCAAGTTCTAGTAATCATTTTATGCACTATTTTTTGCTTGTATTTTTTTCATGTTCAGTTAAAATTTAATTCAGCCAATTTGTATTGGATACATAACCAAATTAAATGTACTATGTAACACATTTCTTGACTTTTAATAATTAGGCATTCCAAACAAATGAATTACCAGTGGGCAGGTTTGGTATATCTAAGGGTGGCGACATATGGTGTATTCTATCTACTTTACGTAAAATCATGAATAATGGATTACATTTAAATATTTTATGTCAAACACAATAAAAATAATATTTAAAAAACCCACCTATACATTTCTTCATAAATTGGCAAGCTTGGTGACTACTACTTTGAATAAAAATAGCGTCCAAGTTGCAAGACTATGTCGCTACCCCCTTAGATATACAAGAATTTCCCACTGGCACCTATTGTTTGACAGGTCGTTGGAATGCCTAATAGTGTCTCATTTTGACAAACATCAGGGGGTCCAAGAATTTTGGCGATGTGTGTACTTTAACTACCTTCTAAATTTAAAAATCTTTTCAAAAGGTGGGAAAATGGGTTTCAGTTACGGACAATAAAGCACAGATATTGGTAGTGAAGCAATTTATACACCATATTTCTTTTTGTTTTCTTTTTTTAATTAGTCTTATTGCAAAGAAAATGTTGGTCCTCCAAAATACCCTGTAAATTGATTAAATGCCATTAACATCAAACAAGAAAAATGTACTCCAAAATCTTCAAGGGTCCAAACATGTGTGTAACTTTAAGCTCGAAATCTAGATTCATTTATCACAAAGGTCAGAGGAAGAATAAGAATTTGAAAAACTACAAGTGGTACACAAATAAATTAATAAAAAAAAATATCTGATGAAGAAATACTCTCCAGTCTAACTAGTGTGCTCGATAAGCACATCGCAAATTTTATTCGTACTCAAATTCGCCTTAATAGCAGTGGCGGCTCGTGGGGATGTTCACAGTGACAGGATATAGGTATCAGTACAGATGTATGAAAAAACTTTCAGTGTTTTAGAAAGTTTATAATATACTTTTCTAAAACACTAAAAAAATTTTACATATATCTGTACCGGGATCTATATTCTGCTACTGTGAACCCCCAAAATTTTGGCCACAAGCCGCCCCTGCTTAATAGTAAGCCACCAAATAAGACAACGCTTCAACTTCAATTTTTTCTTTTTTATAATATTTTAGTAGGTCTAACTGGTCATTACAAAATGCATAAACTCTATAGGGGAAAAAAGCTGTTAATTCCCATGATATATGCCTAGTAAAAGTTAACATACAGGAAGAGAACCTGATAACCACCAGCTTACCATATTTTTCTCCTGCATCCTTCTCCTGCATCCTTCTACAGAAAATATAGTGAGCCTAAATGTTTAATGATTTTTTACCAGGTATTAACTAATTTATACAGACATTTTTAGCATTCCAGCTGAAGTTATTTCATTTTTTGTACAATATATACTAATAAAAGGTTTAATGATGAAGTAAAAACTACAAAAAACAAACCAAATATTTCATTCGATTATATTCCTATAAGATTATCTAAGGCAATTATAAGTAATGATGAGATAAAACCAGGTATCTTATGTTGCCGTTGAGTTTTAAATAACAACATAACTATATTATCAGTATTTATTTTTAATAAAGTGAAAAATAAAATTACTCTAATTAAACTTTAATTGATAATATTCCAAGTTATTTATCTGGTAACATGGGTCATTAGATCCACAAATTAAAAAAAAATAATAATTTATCAAAATATGAATCATTACTTTTCAAAAATATATTTACTGCAAGGACTAAGAACTCATATTCACAGTTTAAAAAAGAACACTCTTAGTGAAACGGAAGATCGAATGTCTACTGAAAATTACGGTTTTGTGTGCTGGTTATTTTCTTTTTAATGAAAACCTATTTTATTTCATTTATGGATTATAGGGACTAAATAAAATGCAACCTTCTATAATGATTCTGATAAGCTATTTAATAAATCAGTTACGAAATGCCTTATTTTATGTAACAAGTGAATATTTGCTAAACGAGCAGAGCGAAGTCTCGTTAATACGAAAAAAAAAAAAAACGATATTTCGTAACGTGTTACATATATTTTCTCTAATTTTGAATAGATCATTTATAAAATTGTGTTTTGATAATAAATTACTGACATCTAGGCAACCATTATTACTACATTCTTGTATTGTTAGTTGCTTATGATTAGCTTTATTCTTTTATTGCTTCCAGGGTAGGATTTGATTTGTGTAAGATTTTTAAATTTAGTAATGCAATGTACTGATTGAATAATAAAATATAATGTTCTTATGTTTACTGTATATTATTTATACGGGGTGGATTATATAGAGAGTAAAATATTTGAAAAATACTCGTATCATACCCAGCTTTAGCAAACTAATGAATTAAAATGCATAAAATGAATTCTACTTACTGGTATTTTTGTAGGAAATCTATTTCTAATAGCAAGAACTTCTTCTTTTCTTATATCTGAAAAATAAAAAAAAAAATTAATAGTTTTTTTCATACAGTATTGGACACACAAAAGAATAACATTTTTACTTTTTATTATCGTTTACGTTGTAATCTTTGTCAAAGACCGTATTGAGAAATATGTTGCCATTAGATCTTTAGACGATGTAGGAGACATCAAGTTTATGTTTGTGTGGTTTAAAATAAAATAGTATATTATTTAACGAGCAAGGAATGGTACTCATTCCCTACGAGTATAATACCGTTTCTCCTCACTTCACTTTTCTTCCATTATATTTTCACATTTACGGCGGACCGTATTAGAAAACTTAACAAAGGCGAACGAATGAAGGATCTTAGAAATTTGTTATAGTATAGTCATATAGATTGTATTGTATTTGCTTTTCTGAATATAATTAAAACACTTAATTTCTAAGCTAGGAAAACCTCCGAATATAGACCCATATCAATGTTACCGATAATATCTAAGTTATTTGAAAAACTACTGCTAAAACGACTAAAACCAATAACTGAAAATAAAAATCTGATCCCTTCGTACCAATTTGGTTTTAGAAACAAACACTTGACAATATATCAAGTAGGGGAAAGTGTCCTAAAATGACATAGCTGCTAAAATGACACACTTGCTCTATATAGGAAACTAAAAGCGGCATCTCGGTAACTGTACTAAGTAACAAACACTCTATTATAATATACTATAAGTTTACAGATCTCTCCAGGTTTATTTAACGGTTTTATTGTGTAGGTTATGTTTCAGTGGCAAGAAAGTTTTGTATGCGTGGATTTTACATTGCTGTTTTTATATCATTCTTCGTGGTATTAAATATTGTGTTGGCATTAATTGTTATATGTGAACAGTGAACAATTGTAAGTAGGTTTTTTAATAGCAACTTTAACATTATCAATAATAATCTATATATTGAAAATGTAACATTGCGTTTAAAAGGACATATTGTGATTGTTGTTAAAATGACATAGTATGTCATTTTATACGACGCACAGTACAATTTCTAGTCTTTTTGGTACAACGATTTATATTAATTGTAATTCGATCTTTAATTTTTTTTACAGATGACCATGGTTGGAAGGTGCGTCAGAAAGACTAATAGACAGTCCTGAGATGAAGCATCTATGCAGTAAGCTATAAAAGATGTACAAGAAAAGAGAATGGGATGGCTAAAAGCATCTAAAGTCTATAACGTTCCCCAAGCAACTCTTAGACGTAGAGCTGCTAATAAGAATAAAAGAGTTAAAGGTGTAGCAAAAAGTCTGGGCCGATTTTCAATAACTTTTGATTCCCAAACAGAGAAAGAGTTGGTAAAACACCTAAAATATCTTGAATCTAGACTGTTTGGTTTAACCACAACCGAAATGAGACAATTAGTTATGAGTTTGCGGAAAAAAATAAACTAGATCATAGATTTAACCGTGAAAAAGGAATCGCAGGAAAAGAGTGGCTCAGGGGATTTCGCAAAAGAAATACCGACATATCTCTACGACGGCCAGAACCCACTTCAGCAGCCAGGGCACGAGCTTTTAACAAGCCTCAAGTTTCCAAATTTTTTGAGGTTTTAGATTCTGTTCTACAAGAGAAATCTATCACTGTTGAGAAGATTTACAATATGGATGAAAGTGGACTGTCGACTGTCCAGAAACCTCCGAAAATATTGGCATCAACTGGGCGCAAACAAGTAGGATCCCTGACAAGCGCAGAAAGAGGCCAGTATGTAACTGTTGTTTGTTGCATGAGTGCAACAGGTAACTATATTCCTCCAGCCTTGATCTTTTCAAGAAAAAACAAAAAAGATAAACTTTTTGATAAAGTTTAGGTTTGTGCCAAGAGTCTGGTTGGATGAACTCAGAACTCTTCGTTCAATGGCTGAAACATTTTTGCAAACATGCTAATCCCTCTCCGGAGAATAAAATACTCCTTCTGCTTGATGGTCATGTAAGCCATACCTCCTTAGCAGCTGTGTCGTTTTGTAGAGAGAATAACATCATTCTCTTGTGCTTCCCAGCTCACTACACCCACCGTATGCAGCCGCTTGATGTGAGTTTTTTTGGACCCCTAAAGGCGTATTACAATCAGGCTTGTACCACATGCATGAAAAATCATCCAGGTCGTGTTATTACAGCTTACCAAGTGAGTGAACTCTTTTCTGAAGCGTATGGTAAAGCAGCCACATTCCAAAATGCATTGAGCGGATTTGCTAAAACAGGAATCAGTCCATTTAATTCCAACGTTTTTCCCGATTACCTTTTTGTACCAGCGGAAACAACTGATATTGCACTAGAAGATACTCAGGCTAAAACACCAAATCCGTTGGGAGAGCAGCTTCACGATGACAATCAAACAGAAAAAGAATCAACCAGATGTCGTTTCTGAACTTCCAATCAACAGTAATGAAGAAGACAAGACAGTAGTCGCAAAGGTGCCATTTTTAGAAATATTTCCACCTCCAAAAGCACTATACCAATCAAGAAAAAGGAATGTAACAAAAAAGTACGCGGTCTTAACATGTTCTCCGAATCCTGAGGAATTGAAATATAAAAACGAAGAGCAAGCAAAGAAAAAATCAAAAATTGACGCACGGAAAATTAAAAAGAAGATTTCCTGTGACAACTCTAAAGAACAAAACATGTCAGAAGCACATTGTTCTAAATTACATATGAATTTGCGTGATCAAACTACAAAAAAGAGTCCCAAGGCAATAATTGAAGATGAGACAGAGGAAGAAAGTGAACCCTTTCAAGGAACTGATGATGAAGATGATGCGTCTTGCATCTATTGCAATGGGTTATTTACGGCATCAAAATCTAAGGAAACTTGGATACAGTGTATGCTGTGTCAGTTGTGGGCTCATTTGAAGTACATATTTAACTCCAAAATCAAAGACATTTATTTGTGACTTGTGCAATTAATTTTTAATAATATTTTGATACTGTCATTTTGGACACCCCCAGTGTCTAAAATGACATAGTTCAACTAATAACATTTTAGGTCTCTGTTCCATTTATTTTTCATTATATTACGTTTTTCTTTAGGAAATTTAAGGATTATTCATTTTTATTTGCCCTTCTGTGAAAATATTTTCAAAATAAATCAATACAAAAAAATTATGATTTTTTTTATAAAAAGTATGTCATTATAGGACACCTTCCCCTACACAGGATAGCCGATATCATTATTATTAATAATAATAATAATTAATAATAATTAATAATAATTAATAATAATTAATAATAATTAATAATAATTAATAATAATTAATAATAATTAATAATAATTAATAATAATTAATAATAATTAATAATAATTAATAATAATTAATAATAATTAATAATAATTAATAATAATTAATAATAATTAATAATAATTAATAATAATTAATAATAATTAATAATAATTAATAATAATTAATAATAATTAATAATAATTAATAATAATTAATAATAATTAATAATAATTAATAATAATTAATAATAATTAATAATAATTAATAATAATTAATAATAATTAATAATAATTAATAATAATTAATAATAATTAATAATAATTAATAATAATTAATAATAATTAATAATAATTAATAATAATTAATAATAATTAATAATAATAATTAATAATAATAATAAATAATAATAATAAATAATAATAATAAATAATAATAATAATAAATAATAATAACAATAAATAATAATAATAAAAAGGGGGTGGGTTGGCTCAGTGGTTAGAGTCATGACTTTGAGATCGGAAGGTCTCAGGATCGAATCCCACCGTTGGCCGGGATTTTTTCATTTAATTTAATTATTTAAAATTAATTCTGATGCCTTGGTAGGATTCCCCACTCGACCATTCACTGTTAGGTTCTAATTAACAGTGCTGTTCCTACAGTGGCGTTGGGAAACAGTAACAAAGCCTACACAGAACACGAGGCTAATAACCATAGCAGTTGATGCCGATGACACAAAAAAAAAAATAAATAATAATAATAAATAATAATAATAATAAATAATAATAATAAATAATAATAATAATAATAACAAATAATAATAATAAATAATAATAATAAATAATAATAATAATAATAAAAAATAATAATAATAAATAATAATAATAAATAATAATAATAAATAATAATAATAAATAATAATAATAATAAATAATAATAATAAATAATAATAATAAATAATAATAATAATAATAATAATAAATAATAATAATAATAATAATAAATAATAATAATAATAAATAATAATAATAATAATAATAAATAATAATAATAAATAATAATTAATAAATAATAATAAATAATAATTAATAAATAATAATTAATAAATAATAATAATAATAATAATAATAATTAATAATAATTAATAATAATAATAATAATAATAAGCTTTATTGTCTATAACAGGTAATCCCATTTAAAAGTCAATATAATTAAAATGTATAATAAAAGAAAATATAAATTACATGAGTAACAAGTAGAGAAAACAATGTTGTTTTAACATAATCTAAACAGTAATTAAAACAATAATCATTAAAATAATGATTGATTTAAATAATGATTAATTTGACAAGGTAAGGTGTCTTTTTTATAGATATCGTGAAAAAAAATTTAAATTTTAAGAACTCACTGTTGACTAAAATCTGCTTCTGATTAAAACTTTTACTGTAATGGTACAACTATAATGAATATATATATATATATATATAATTCTATATTATACTCTTCACAGGTTAACCGACCTCCGACTCCATCCCATTATAATGCTTGAATTTTCCTGAAGCTTTTAATTTGATATCGTTTTTTTTTTGTTTCTGAGTTAGGATTTTTTTCAATATTTTAACCCCCCCCCCTTTATCCTCCCACTTTTATTCAATTTTTTTTCACAATCAATATGCCTCATCTCCTTACAGAGCTTGATTTTTACTAAAAATTTCATGTTGATTTCGCTTTTCAATTTTGATTTATGATTTTTATTTTATTTCA